GGGGGGGGGGGGTGGAGCGGCGTCGACCTGCTAGAGTCGTGAAGGCGACAGGGCCGAGTGATGGATGAGGCCGGCTCAAGAGGCCGGGGGGTCCCTCGGCGGCCGGGTGATCTCCCGCTAACGGGTCCGGGTGCTGCTGCTGCAGGTGGGCGGCCAGGAGGACGAGAGCTTCGCGCAGCTGACGGACGCCCTGCCGTCCGTCAAGGAGGTGGACGCGGCCGCCGAGCTCAGCATCAAGATGGACTGGCTGCAGAGCCGCGCCGGCCCGCACGGCTTCTTCACGTACCCGGGCACGCTGTTCGGCGCCGACCAGGGCATCAACGTGCTGTGGATCGTGTACCCCACCCCGGTGCAGATCTGCTGCCAGCACGTGAGTGACTGGGGACGGGCGGGGGTTGGGCTTTTATAGCCCAAAACTTAAGAAAAACACGAAATATTTCCAGATTTAAAAACAAAACACTTCAAAGGGAAAGATTTTTTTAAAAATCTTGAAAAAGTTCCCAAGAATACTGGTCTGGAAAATTTAAATTCCTACTCGAGAGTCTGTAATACCCCTCCTGCAATTTGTCTGATGCATACACACCAAATTCTATCCAACCCATCCGTTTCGTTTGTTTTCCCTTCCAGATTGCGCGTTTTTACAAACTTGACTGCCTGGACTACGACCGAATGCACCCGCTCTACGAACCCCTGGATCGACCAGTCTTCCATTCAATCAACCCTGACAACTGTTCATCTTGAATGTTTGCTCTCTTGTCTAGTCGAAACAATTCCCTTTCAGAGCCCCGCGCTAGTTTTCCTACCCGTAGTCTTAGCTTTGTGGCTGTGTCGCGCGTTGGTCTCACATCTGGTGGTAGCTATAATAATCCATTCAATATTTGGACTTAGATACTGAATATTAAAATACTTAAGATGCGCTACTGTACAAGATTTAATTAGCCTTTCACACATCATCACAGGAACAAAGAGTTACCGGTATCTAATCTATTGCCATTTTTCACCAGTTATCAAATTTTTATTAGAATTGATTAGGTACAAAAACTTGTTGACATATCACAAGAAGGCAATTATTTTAAGCTAATATGAATGTTAGAAACCCTTTTCACCAAAATCACAATGATAAAATCATACTTATTTTCTTGATAAAAATTTAGGAATTTGAGAAAGACCACAATGAAATAAAATTTACAAATAAGGTTAATATAACCAAGTTCAAATTAATACATTTAGAAATATTCAGGTATGTCTTTTAGGTACTTCAGAGCAATTTTTTCTTGCTTTTAGGACTTGAAAGAGTTATTAGTTGAACCCTTCTTGCTTTCTTTCCAGAGTTTCCTGGGGTAATAACATCCTCTACATTAGGTATATTAGTTGTAGGAGTGCCTCCACAAGTCTTTGACGGGTCGCTGCTAGACACATTAGACTTTGAGTCAGGTGAGTCACACAACGTTACAATTGGTGTGGCGGTTGTGGTGGTTGTGGTGGTGCTGGGGCAATTTTCCTCTGGCAATTTTGGACCATCTGGTTCAATGGCAGAAGAGTCATTTTCTGCTTTTGACTTTTCTTCGGGAGTCTCCTCTTCTAACTTTTTAATCCCTTCAAAATCATCATCACCTGATAAGTCAATACAGGCAACCATGTCTGTCTGTGTTGAAACCAAACCATTGACATAATCTGATTCTTGACTGTTGGAAATCGTACTATCAGCAGGAACTTCTGCCTTTGAGTCTGATGGAGTTTCTTCTTGTTCATATGGTACACCCAACTCACCAGGTGAAAATGTAATTATTGAACAATATCCATCTGTAGAGGACACCATCAGCAAATCTCCTTTAGGTGACCTAAAAATGTACAGACATAGATTTGAGATTCTAGTGCTAACAAAGTTCAATGCACCCAATATGGTTGAGAAATACTTACCAAGCAAGATCTGTGAGTCTGGTATAATGGAGATTGGAAACATATCCAAAAGGCATGGGCTGTTGAGTATCATACAACACAACTGCACTAGCAGTGGCGACTGCAAAAATTACCCGGTAAGGCAGTGCAAACATTGTTTCGGGTTTGGTTGATTCATCTAGGTTGCGTAGCTCAAAAAGTACAGGACAGCATTTTACACAAACAGAATACTGATCCAATGAGGGTAAGTAACAAACTGGGCTTTAAAAAAAAAAAAGAGAGAACAGAAACAATTACAGGTCAACACAATCTAATCATCAGCCAGTACTTTCAACAAACAATCTTTCACTTACCGACTGAGAAGCCGCCTGGAGAAAACCAGTGTGGTACTACTTGGCTTTTTCCCTGGCTCCTGCGGTTCAATCACACCTGCAGGAGCAATAAGGAGCTCTCCATCGGGAGTAAAGGTTAAACGTCTAAAGAATGTTTGAATTGTGTCGTCATGGAACAAATTAATTTTTTTGCCGTGTAGGTTGTGATCTTTGGGAACTGGTAGTGGAGCCTTTCCAACCCTGGCAGCAAGTTTCTTGGAATTTGCGTGAAAAACTCGCAGCTTTCTGAAAAGAGGCAAGATGTAATGGATCAAAATGCATTCTAGATGTCAGAATCTTTCAAAATTGACCAATGACAGGTCAATTTAATATACATAAAATAATGAACAGAAGTATGCAACAAAGTATAAATAGAATAACTAATACCTATCACTACTGAGTGTGGCAAGAAGTTCATTTTTGGGATCCCATGTCACACCTTGCACAAATCCTTTGTGATCTTCAAGAATAGACCTTGAACCTAAAATAGAGGGAAACAGAAAAAAAAATTAAGGTAGATGCTGACACAGTGGTTGGGGCGCTTGGAAGAATACTGGATTTAGTAGTATTGTAATCCCTTTACCTTTTTGAACATCCCAAATGATTGCTGTGTTATCAACTGATCCAGAAATTAAAGATGTTGAATCAGGACTCCAGCACAAATCATAAACATCTTCCAGATGACCACGAAGAATTTTCACAACGATCCAAGACTCTTTGCTAGCTTCAGCATCAGTCGTACTACTTAGTTCTGGTGCATCACATTCCTGACGTTTTTTCCAGATTATAATAGCTGATTCTATAAAAAAGATTATTAAGTAATCAACTGACAATGTGCAAAAATTCAACAATTGAACATTTAATTCAAAATAATTAATTTTATAACTATTGAGTAAAACGTACCATCATCGCCTGATGCTAAAAACGAACCACACGGGGAGAAACGCACAGCATTAACAGCTTTCTGATGCCGTACCAGGTCTGATGCGAAATCTACTGTAGTGGTACCATCCTCATTAGATTTCACATGCCAAATCTACAAAGACAAACAAGAAAATTTAATTCAAAGAACAGTGAAAATATTGTAGTAGGTACGAAAAGAAAAGAACTCACAAGCACATGAGTGTCTGTGCCACCTGAGGCCAGTCGATAGAATGGTTCATCTGGTCGTTGCTTTTGAATGTCTATACTTAATACAGGATCTCTGTTGTGCCATGATATTTCAGGGATTGTGCACCTCATGACTGATTTCTATTGAAAAAAATAAAATAAAATGGAGAGTTAACTTATTGATTGAAGCCGTGTAAGGTAACAAGACACAACCACATAACCTAAAGCTGCAAGGATCTAATGCACTGCCGGGAAAGGTGTTAACGGTTCGGTTTTACATTGATTATGTGGCAACATTCTGAAAATTCAGTTGGTAGACAGAAAGTGGTAGCAAGTTGGTGTTAAGTTTAAACAGTATCTGAGGGACCCAGCTTCTGTCATTCATTCAAATGTTTTAAATGTGAATAAAAGATGCCCATAGGTTATGAGTACACTAACCAGAAAAACATGCTGCGTTACGTTAGTTAACGACCTAAAAGCAGATACGTGCAGACTATGCCAAACTTACAGCTTTGTTGAGTTTTGTTACGTAGAATTCTTTAATCTCTGCAATTAATCTAAGAAAGAATCATCAAAAAATTTAAAACAAAAACGGACTAAAAACATTAAATTGAAACATGTTGAACTGATTGCTTTCGCGCCAGTGTGTGGGCCAACGTCGGAAGAGAAAGAAGGACGATGTATTTTGTTATTAGGAACGTTTTTTACTTTGGGTCATGCAAAATATTTTTAAATTAACTTAAAATAGCTGACAGTGTGCTCAATAAATCTTTTTCTGTAGCTTTTTTTTTAAATAGAAAGTATTCCGATTCTGCTGTTGTGTTGGTGCAGCTGAACGAGGGCAACGACTGCGCCGCGCGCAGGCACAAACTTGCACAACTTCCACATTGAAACAACAAGTTGTTTTGGTTGCTTCAAGTTGAAGCCAAATTAAAGAGAAATACGCCGGAAGTCAACCATCATGAATTACCCACGAATTTTCGTTAATGGTAATGGTTGAGAAATAGTTTTGTGATTAGTTTGTCAGTCAAATTTCACTATAGTTTCATGATCTGGACACATTTGAGTAGGGTATGTAGGGTTAGGCAAACTGCTCCTTGCCTACTAAACCATAATGTTTATTTCAGAATTAAGAAAGTGAATTTCTTCAGAATCGGATCAGCTTCCGTGCTATGGCTGATGAGTTCCCAGAGGACTCATTTTTTAGGAATAGCAATGTTGCCGTTCTGGAAGCAGTCATTCAAGAGAGAGAAGATGCTGCACCAAAGAGGTCTAACAATGGAAACATTTCAAATGGTATAGTCTTATTTTTATTTCAGTTCTAAAAAAAAAGGTTGAAGTTATATCTTGAAAGTTTATCATGTGCATACAGGAGTTAACAAAACTGATAAAATGGTCGAATCTAACGGGCTTATGACCAATATACAACCATCAGCCTCAAGAAGCTCCAATAATTTATCAACTTCAAGACACCCTATTAATGCTTTAGAAAATGGTAACAAACCAGAGAGTAGTGGGGGTCATCCAACTTCTCTCACTACTGTTAAGTCATCAAAGCTGGAAAGTGTAACAAGTAAAAAGAAAGTATCAAAGCCTCGTAACAAAAAGACTACAAATACTGCAGAAAAATCAACACATGATATTGATAATGAAACTATCAATGGTGAAGTGATAGGCACTCAGAGGTCTGAGGCCTTATCAAAAGATAAGAATAAAAATAACTCTTATCGGCCTTTAAATATCACAAGAAGTGTAGTATTTCAAACAAAGCATACTAGTTTATCATCGTCTGACACTTCA